CTAGTGGTTTTTCACAAGAAAATTTTTTAAGTTCACTATATAATCTATATAACACACACACAAACACACACACACACACAAGCATACATACATACACACAGGTGAATCGCTATATGCCAACGCATCGCAGATGCTGCGGTGGCATAAAAACCTCAAAAGGGGACCCCTACTGTGCACGCCATCCGCCATTTTTTTCGTGTTAGCTTTATATAGAATTAAACTACTTTCTTCATATGCAAACCTTGAATCCAGTGTGTGGGCTCCTACTGGGTAAACAATATATGGAATATTTCTCTTAAGAGAAGCTCTTTTGTTCAGGAATAAGTTTTTTCACGATTGGTTTTTTCGAAAACCCGGCTGAATGACGATTTCTAGAGTTTCTGGAAATGCTAATAATTGAAATTATTTCAATCTGCCCTTTAATCGTTTATTTCTAAGACCGACATAGCCTTTATCACATTCTTGAGCAGTAAACAAAAATCAGAAAACAACATATTGAAAGACTAAACGACTTATCCAAACAAATGCTTCAGACTGTGACAAATACAGGCATGTGTACATATATAACAAATGGGCACTCAATTCACGAGTGTGATGTGAAATATACATATAAAACGATATTGAGAGCTTTATTGCATAACACAGTAAAGTTCTTTCAAAGCTTCAGTATCAAATTCATTCAGTAAATTCTTAAATATGATATTAGTTTAATAACGAAATGTAGTTTTAGCTTACATGATAATAATAATCATGCTTTGCGGAATAAAATTATATATGACCTTTATGACCTTGTTTTTGGATGATTTTTACGTGTTAACCTTATATATTACTAGAAATTTGTTATTGGTTAACCTAATAATTGTATAAACTTAGAGAATATTGAATAATCATTTGATTTTGACAAGAATAATTAATTGCATCATATTGTATCATAGTTTTAATGAACTATTTTAGTATTTCTAAGCGGCCATTTTGAATTGACCTTTTGAAGGTCAAGGTCAATTTTATTTTCTTGGTATCCACCCTCATCGTCTTCAGCATACCCGAATTAGGTTAAAACACTCAAGATATTACTTGTACCATAAAATGCCTCTAGCATTCATATTTTCTTAAAATCAGTCCTGTCTAATTCCTTAACTGTGAAAAAAAACTGTATTCTTGGATAATATCTTGACATAATTATTAGGTGTTTACACAGGTGGTGGAAAAAACCTTAATTACACCTGTAAGACAGGTCTCGTGCTTTAAATGACGTCATACCCACATGCCTTTTATGAATGAATTGCGTATTGACACCAAACTGGGTGTACGGGTAGCTTTTATCAATTTCTTTTCAGAGGTCTGTGACCAAGGTCAATGTCACTGTTGTTAAAAATAGAAATTCAGTTCCCGCTAAATAACTTAAGTTTGCTTAGGCCTAATGACACCAAACTTGGTATAATTATGGGTCGCTTTTATCTCGAGACAGCTTAAGATTGTTACCCAGATGTCTGTGATAAAGGACAAACTCACTGTTGCTTAAAATAGAAATTCAGTTTCCGTTCAATTACTTGAGTTTGTTTTGCCTATTGGCATCAAACTCAGCGTATGTTGTATAGGTAGCTTATATCAAGAGGCAGCTTGGCACGGCTACCCAGATGTGGTTGATGAAGGCCAATGCCACTGTTGCTAAAAACAATTTAGTTTCCGCTAAATAACATGAGATTGCTTTAGACTATTTACGCCAAACTTTATGTCTTGGTAACTTATATCAAGAGGCAGCTTGGGATTGCTACCCAGATGTCTGTGATCAATACGTTAAAAACAGAAATTCAGTTACTTATAAGAACTTGAGTTAGCTGCGACCTATTGACACCAAAGTTAGTATGTTGGTAGCTTATACCAAGGCGCAACACGGTATGGCTACCCATATGTCTGTGAACAAGGTCGTCCTGTTGCTTAAAAATGAAATTAAGTTTTCACGTGATTACTTGAGTTTGCTTTGACCTATTGACACCAAACTTGCTGTATGTAGCTTATATTAAGATGCATCTGGGATTGCTGTTAGATACCTGGTAGCAAGGTCATTGTCACTTCCGTACAACATAATTTTCAGTGTCTACTCAATATCTTCAGTACACTTTGATCTATTGACACTTAACTTGACATGTGTGTATCTTAAATGAAAATACAGCCTATCATTGCTACTCAGGTATCTTATATATCTTATTTTGAACTACTAAAACCAACTTTCTGTGTCGGTACAAATAACAGCATCAGTTTTTCGTCACTGCCAAATGTCATTCCTAATTCCTGTGACATCATTATTTGGTCTTTGAAACCCTGGTTTTTTATTTGTGTGCAAGTGCAACAAGATTCATATTTGTACACACGTGCAAACGAGATTCATATTTGTGTACGAGTGCAAACAGGAAAATGGTTACGTTTTGTTAATAAGCAACAATTTCAAAATCGTCAAACTACACTTTTTTCTAAAACACTATAACTGACTGTTAAATTTTGGTGTTGTTTCTTTTATTTTAGCAATTTTAATAGAAGATTATTTCGTTCAGTTGATGAATGCTCTTTTTGTTAATGTAAATATGCGTACGAAGTGATTATGCAATAATTCAAATTTGTACACCCTGTAGAGGTAATAATTATCCAGGTTCTGAAAGTGTCATTTTCTTTTCGAAAACAGTACTAAAAATTGCTTATTACTGAACTCTACACTATTACATCACTTTCTGTTTGTCATTTTGTTCTGATTATTTCCAGTTTATTTACCCATCTGAAGACGGTTAATCACAATTAGGATATAATGCCTGCTTTTTCCAAATTTATCACATCTATTTTTGATATGAAGGATGTATATTTCCAACCTTGTGGTTCGTCTGTTCACCATTGATTGTGTTTTTAGAGTTACATCAATTCAGTCTTATTCTAGATGATTTGTCTAGTATTTATACTTGAATACACTTAAATCATTCTTAGGATAATAGTATGTTTTATCCATTTTTATCTCTACTTTTTATTGAAGAAAAAATGATGCATTGTTACAGTTATATTGACGTTGCCGTTGCTGTACGCAAACTTAAAACTTGATCGAAACTTTTTAAGTTCTTGGTGTATTGTCCTTATTCTTATCCAAAACAACCATTGAATAAGACCTTTAAGTAGACTAAAGTAAACTTGACACTCAGTCATAATTGACCTTAACATTCAAGGTCAAATATCCAAATTTGCTTGATTTTGCTGAATTTTGCTTTAATAGGATATTACTTTGTTAATTTTGAATAAGTTATCTCTGAACTTTAGCATTATTATTGTTTAGGATAGACTTTAAGTTAATCAGACAGATCTTGACCTTCACTAGGACACAATATTCTTTAGGATAACACCTTCATGTATATCTAACTCATTTGACCTTCGCTTCTTATTGATCATGACATTCAAGGTTAGTGATAATTGCTAAAATTGGCTTTAACTTAGTAATTAATATATTGATATTTTCAAACTTGGACAAAACAACTTTACATACAAGACCTTCTGGAAGGTTGGACTGACCTTGACCTTGAGCTTTAAATGACCTTAAGCGTCCATGTCAATTTTTCTAATATTTGTTATGTAGTCGCAATTGTGTTATTTATGTAGACTCTACGGATTTAATTCACATATTTAATTTTAGAAAAAGTAAACAAGACGAGCGTTGTCCCCGCTCGGCTGTGGCTCTTGATAAACTTATCTTTTGGCAGGCAAACAGTTGGTGCTCAAAAAATCTTACCCCACGCGTAAAATGTCAATTGAATTATTTTTTTTCTGATTATTTCAAAGGTTCAGTTACATAAATCCTTTAATATATGCCGTAATTCAAGGAATGACAAAAAAGTGTTCAATGAAAGTAACGTGAACTTGGGAAACATGTTTAAATGATAAACTTCAACTGATGATATTAGGCGTGGTAGTCAGCTGACCCTCACCATTTCAATTCATGATCAGACTAAGTCAAACCAAGCCTGCTTTTTTCATTTGTCCGTGTTGCAAGGTCGACCTTTTCCCCTTTTTTCTACTACATCTTTTATTTCAATCGATTCCATTTCTTTTAAATTTGTTACAGTGGCACTCTACCCGAAAGGTCATTCTCACGGTTAGTACTTTTTAAGAGATACTATTTGTAGTTAGCATGCTTTTCATGACTTTTGTGCACAACACTTTCTCTTCTCTCCTCGACTCTGAACTGGCAAGACGTACCTTTTCTCTTGGAGTGGAGACTTTCAACTACAGTTGATCTATCAGGTAAGTAATTCATTACTATTATTTACTTGGTCCAAACTGTAATAAATTCAATAGTTTCAAAAGTAAACGAAAAAGGGTATAAAGTTCGTGTACCACGTTATGTTTTCAAATAAACAAAAATGCTAACAATATTCGAAACAATTTTGCTAGAGAAATGATAAGAAAAACTGTAACACTTAACAAAAGACTTTATTGCTTAAAATACTCATTCAACAAGTAGATCATTTTGTTCCTAAAGTATTAATTATTTTGGGTTCAAGAGAAAGCATAAACAAGTGTAACCAATCATATATGTCTTTGTTGAAAATAGAAATGAGCAACTAAGAATGAATCACGTTTATAATATTATAATGACAAGATTAAAGAATATATTTTAGGGTTCGGACGTAACTAGATTTAGATTTCTTCGAATACTTTGTTGGTAAGATGATCATCCTTTATCCAAAGGAACCAATCCAAGAAAAATAAAGGATAATGACACATTTAAATACAGAACAATAAGTAATTGGAATCCAATACTCTATTCTACTACATATATAATAAAAATATGTATTTCAAAATGACTGTTAATAATATCTGTTCAGTTGTAAGTTTATCTCTTAAACAGCTGTGTCATTATTTTACTGATTAACATATTAATGTTTAAAATGATATTAACGCAAAAAACAATATTAATTGTGACATATTTTAACCATGCCTAAAATCATAATATATATTTAATCTTTTGTGTATCTATGTTGCCAGTAAGAATAAATCAAAGTCATAATTTTCAGAAGTATTTAATATGTAAAAAAAACACTTAACGATAAAATATAAACAATTACATTATAGTACTATCTTGCTGTAAATGCCTTAACGTTGTCACATGACACAAGGTTATCTAAAGTTTCCAATGATTATGTTTCTTTAAATTCGCAAAAAAACATTAGAACCGATTGTCCATCATGACGCTCATTTTGCACATTCCGATAAATTGTGTAGCTCCGTGTGATGTCTCAAATAAATAAAATGTATGAACACCTAAGTCTGATACTGCCAATGGATAGTAACAAGCGAAAAGGTCTTTTAGAATTTGATTACATTACCAAACATGTTGCACAATGTAAACGATTAAGAACATACCTTTAAATTCCATCTAATTATTTACCTTTCGAGATAATAATTAGTCAAAATGTGCGACCTAGTGGTTAAAGCTGTTGATGAAAATTGTACAGTGAAAACATGTATTCTTTCATTAAAAAGTGTGGATATACATTAACAGGGTACAAAAGAATTAAAACCAAGCGAGCTAGTGCCGATGAAGCACCTTTTTACGTGGTTTATGACGTCATGTACAACTAGTTTACTTAAAATAACGGTCCCGGAAGTGACAAAAGTATCAAAACATCACTGTCAAATCACAACGCAGAAGAAAATGAAAACCAGTATGAAAACTTAAAAATAAAAAAAATGAATTAGACAAAACGCGGGCTTATTCGTCTATTTGTACGCATTTACATCTGCGGAAGCCCTCGGACTTAAATCCGTCCTCCGTGGTCGAGGGGTTAGAGTCGATGACTTTTAATCCAGTTACCTCTCTGGCGTGGGTTCGATCCCCGGGAGATGCTTTGGTAGTTTAGCGCGGAGGAAGGTAGTCTAGTACTGGTGTAACTCTCCAGGAACGATGGTTAGGAAACTACCCGCCTATATGACTGAAATACTGTTTGAAAAAGGCGTACAATGAAACAAACAAACAAACAAACAATAAATCCGTCCATTTTCTACAGATTTTAATGCATGAAAAAAGTGCAATAACCCTTATTCATATATAAGTTAATAAAATGACAAAATGTATATTAGAAGAACAACAACAACAAAACACTGAGTCTCTCAAGCGTAACGTTATAATTTAAACAGGAAAGGGTCATCGACTCAAGTGTAATGAGGCTACAAATTGTTCTACAAATCATGATGAAACACATTGTTTGAAGTGATAATGTAATCCATAGTTTAGTTGATGAATATATACCATGATAGCATATCGTACAAACGAACAGTTCTGTATCAAATACCGGAAATTATATAAAAGTCGTTGAAGGTATATCCATCAAACTTTGACATGTATCAGTATCTTTTACTGGTCTGTTGTTTGTGATCGTACGTCTATCCCTTCTCCGTCATATGATAATGGCTGATCTAGACTTGTTTGACCTGATGCAGGTTCTGGTAAGGGTATAGGTACAGGTTCATCTGATCGTCGCTGTGTTTCTGGGCCTTCCAGTTCGTTTGAAGCAGGTTCGGGGCTATGTGTACGTTCATATAAGATTCCCTGTGTTTCTGATTCTTCCAGTTCGTTCGACGCTCTTGTTTTTGGTTTTGTTTGATGATGTTTGTCCTACAAATTGTAACATTTTGTTTATTTAGCTATTCTTTGTTCATGATTAAAATCTAGACAGTGTGATACCTCGGAACAACTAACCACAACAAAATTGCATGAAATTTGCAGACTTGGTTAGATTGAGTTTGTACATGAGGGATAATGAAATAAATCAAAATCATTCTCCCCTTTAGCACCGGCTTGTGCGGAACTCAATTTTCAACATTTATAGGTGCTGGAATTTTATAATTCCGAATGACCAGAAAAATATAACAGCACTGAAGAGTAGTACGGGGCAACTTATCACACCACAATTACATGAAAATGTAGACTCGGCTTGATTGAGTCTGTGCATGAGGGATAATGAAAAGAACCTCTCTCACGTCCGCTAGAACCGAATTATTATTATACATGTATTGTGAAAATGTTGTTTTGCAAACTCTATTAGCAGTTTACAATATGGTCGTGTAACGAACGTTTTTAAAAGATGTTTTAATGCGAAGAAAATACATGAAAAGGAAAGAAAAGAAACAAATCTGGTAATTATTTAAAGACAATATTAAAGTATTTGTATATATTTCTATTTCACTCATTTCACGGCTCGATAGGTATAAGGTTAGGGAACATCTCCTTAAGAAGACATAATTATAATACGATGACTGATTAGATTCAATTAGGTTTCAAGGAAAGGTTTCTTAAATAGAATAATTCAATTTATTGTTGTCTGATATCCTGTTCTTTGTCTACAGGGGTTAATAATCTTATTCTTTGTTAAAAACATTCTGGAAAAGAGTTTGAAGTGTAGATAAATTGATCTAAATATGATTTTGGTGACATTGAGTTTATGCTACTCATGAAGATGATGTTAATGACACTGTTAATCAACTGTTCCAACATTATATGCACTTCTTGGATTCCATAACTTTTTATGGCATAATATCGGCCTGAAAAAAGGTGCAATAAGTAAGATTTTCTTTGATCTCAAACTAGGTTTGACAAGAGTTAAAGATTACTCGTGTACTGAAAACAGCACTCGTTACCTTCCCTGCAAAATTGCGTGTAATATAATTTTCACTGGTACCATCTTGTCTGAGTGTTTGCTTTGAATCATCTGATGTTCGCTCATTTGATCCAGCGAACTACTTTACTGCCGTTTGGCTGCTTGACACTTCCTGCTTGTATTCTTCAAAAATTTTGATTTTCCAAATAACTCTTTTTTCAATAATTAATTTCGAATCATTCTCCTCAATCAAACAAAACTTACTGTAGACATTTTAGGATCAAGATTCTAAACATATTTATAAAAAATTGCAGATATTATATAACTCTTTACATATATTTAGTAGTTTTACATATTAAAAAGCAAGGTTATGATAACATCGGACCGATTTTAATCTTGTTATTGGCGTTATTTATCTGTTCATTTTATTAAAAGATATTCCAACTCAGCTATAGTAAACTATACTATAAAAACTTATACTTTGAAATAGAAACGCAGAAATTTAAAGAGTATATCCAAGTAACTGTGTAGAGTAAATGTCTGAAAGTTAGCTGGAACAAAGACGTTATTACTGAAATCTGCCGAAGCTACTTATTATAACGTAATCGTAGACAATTTTTGATATTTATAGTACAATGTATATTGATTGAGAATTATATTCCGAAAATCCTTCGAAATAATTAAAGGTGAAAATTTCACATTTGGTTTTTGAGAGTGTGTGGGGTTTTTTTTTTAGATAAAATGGAAGGTGCAACACCTTACAGACCCTCTCATGCACATTCAAAGTCTGTTATGGTTATCTTTAATCTTACAGTTTATGTTGCTGCTTAAACCAACATTCGACATTGTTCGGGGATTTTATTAATGGAATCGTGTGGTTATGAACAGAACATCATTCTGGATAAGTTGTCACTTAAGAATAAAAGGAAAAAATTCACCAATGGACAGTTTTCATAACTATTTTACATTATAAGACAAAATCAGACTAGTAAACATTTCATATGTGTATTGCAAAAATTACACGCATTTTTTAGGCATGGTAACAAATACCTGTTCATCTTTAATCTCTGTCAAACCCACTTTCATATCGAAGAAAACTTACTTACATCAGTCCGATATAATTATTAGTATAAAATGAAATGAAGTGGTTCTTCATTGAGGTTTTAAAATGGATATCTCCCATGGTTTCTACATTCAAATATCGTTTGCTAGAAAAATCTTATTTTGTTTTACACCAACACAGTAAAGGCCATATGGATCCGAAACAGGAAAGAAGATTTTACTTGGAAAAAGGGAATCAATTTAATTAATCATACAGTCAAAAAGAAACAATGGCTCAAATCCGTGATATTGAAGATCATAAAATTTTGCAATGCCCATTTAAATGGAAACAATACGTGTTTCTTTTTCTCGAAGCCTACCTGTGGTAAAGGATAACCCTTTTCCTGACACCAATGTCCAAATGCTTTAGTTATACTTTCGACAATGTCGTCTTTTTCTTTGTTCTTAATATTACAGTATAGGCGTATGCTGCACTCTTGAAAAACGTCCGGCAGTACGTAGGAAACCTGCATGATTTGTTTATAATTAGCATGATCAAACATTTTTAGTACTTAATTCTATTAATTATTCAAATAAGATTTTGTTTAAAATAGAATCCTTTATAATGTTTTTATTCAAAACATTAAGATAACATATTCGAGTGTACATGTGTTGAAGGTAAGTCCCCATTCATGGTAATTACTGAGACTAGCGAGGTGCTTGTACATGTATTTGGATTCAAAGCATCTTAAAACATTTCAACCTCAGACTTTAATTTCATGATCCATTTGTTCAGAGCTCTAAATGAAAATCTTAAAAGGCTTAAAAATATTCAAACGATAGATACTTACTTGGTCTTTAGCCAATCTTATTGGCACATCCAATTGATCTTTTGTATAAAATCGTACTTTTTCCAAGGGGTTCTTATTCTCCATACCATAGTTAAACTTCACAATCTGTATTCACAACGTAAGTTGTTGTAATGGTCCTAATACTAGGTAAAGCATTTATGTACAAAATATGTTGGGAAAATGTTAGAAACATATCCAGCAAAAACGCTGCATGAATATCTTGTGAAAATGTTATAAACATATCAAGGATAAACTTTGCATACATATTTAGAAAGAAATATTTCATAACTATTAAGGAAAAACACTGCATACTTATTTATGAAACGTGAAACATATATACATGTAGAGAAAAAAGTTCATACAAAATTATGGAAAATGTACTTTATATATATATAAAGAAAGGTTAACATGCATATTTAGGATAATCCTTCGTTGGAAATTTTAAACATTTTTTCAAATGTTTTCCAGAATTTTACAATCACTTTATTTATCAATATTATGAATTTCGATGACTCGACCAAACATTTGAATATGGAAAGTATGCCATAAGATATAAGACAATATATGTACAAAAATAAATACGGGTTACAGCAACAATAAGTTAGTGTGATTAAAGTTAAATCATCAAAGGATAATTAACACCTCTTCTACTAGAAACGTTAAGTGTTAAGTCTTTGCCACCACTCTTAAGACTATACAAGCTCGCACATCGTGCAGTCTTATCACGATCTTTACTGTTGTTATTGTGGCATTGAAATTCCTTAAAACTTGAATGAGCTGTTCCAAACTCAAAGGTTTGAATATTCAAAACACAAATCCAGCGGGTTAGGAGTTAAGTATGAATAATTATCTTTCATTCTTAATTGTTTTATCTTCTTTAAAATGAGTATTTCGATAATACTATTTTTGACGAAGATATAAGAATCTGCAACTTTGTACGCGTGTTAAGGAATAAGAATATGTTCCATCGTATATTAAAAATTACATAGTATGCTTTCATTCAGGGAACATATTTTGCTTAGAAATCGCTATAAGCAACGATATATATACATCTACATTAAGAGCAGCAACTCATGTTTTGGGTACAAAGTCAACCTGTTTTTTTTTTGTTTTCTTTTGTCAATACTAAAGAAAACGGTAACACTTACCGACCACACTATAAATAAATGAATGTTCAATAAAGCTGTATTCTTTGCGAATAGTTAACAAGAGTGCTCTTGGGCTCTTGGTTGCTCAAATGAGTCATGGGTGTAAACCTGTATTCAGAGTTTGTGAAGACAAAAGTGTCAATTTAACTGGGTAAAAGGTGATCTCATTTAAACAAAGGTTTCCCCAAGATCTGATCAGGTAACTTAGTTTTTGGACCTATATGACATAGTTTTAAATCTGCACTTAGTTTTGTTGAGATATATATGTTGACAATATCTTTTTGAATCGGGTTAAAAGCATCAATAACATCACAAAAATGTATGTCACAATATTTTGTGGCCAATGTGTAAAACTGTAAGAGAATAACAAAGACCTACAAACTATTCATACCAAAATTTGAAATTACACTGTTTAATTGAATACGGTCTGAGTGACAAAGATATTTGAAAGATTAATCTGTTAAAAAGAAAAGAACATGGAGATATAATGATTAACAAGAAACATGGCAACGCCAGGAAATCAGGTTTTCAATTATCACCATTGTTTGGTTGTCATTGGAAACTAAATACAAGCAACTTACAATATACTTTCTGCATTGAAACAGTAAAATAGAAGAATCAGACGACAGATGGCAGACAATATAATGTCACAAAAGCTCACCTTGTCACTCTGGGACAGGTGAACTAACAATCAAAAAGCCCCCTGACGGGGCCCCTGTTCATCATATTGTCATTATTAGAAAAATCTTTGTAGAGGAGCACAAGCTCATGTTAGGCTTTATGCCCTATATAACTTAATATAAAAATGATGAGTCCCTGGCGGGCCCCTTTTGATCCTTGGGGCATAATTTGATTTTGGTAACAAAACTTTTTGCAACCAGATTTCTTAAAGGAATTTTTTTTAACAATTTTGGTAGGTAGAGCAATCTTCAAGAAACATGCCTGACAAGTTTCATTAAATTTGGTCTAGCGGTATTGGAAGAGAAGTCATTTGAATGAAAAAGTTAACGAACGAAAGGGCAAACTGACGGACTACAGACAATTCGGTGTCACAAAACCTCACCTTGTCACGTTGTGACAGGTGAGCTAAAATCAAATTCAGTTCCTGTCTTTGATATGTAATTACTCACGTCATAATGGAGGAACTTTTCTTCATTGCAATTCCTTTTAGATGTTTACCTATACCCTCTTTCAAATCATTTTCTTTCAAGTTTTCATCCTAAAAAAAGTTTAATATATTAAAATTCATTATTGTCTAACTTAACATATGGATATTATGACGCATTATTTAATGAAATTAAAACAAATACCATCCATGTATCACTTAAGTGTTTAACAATAAGCCTTTTGTAATTGTATATGGCATACATTACAATAATTGTTACAAGGGTAATGTACACAAATAAATTGTATTAGAAAAACCTCTAAGAAACAAATTACGAATACAGATTCGGATTGAATATATTGCATGGCTTTCAATAATAAACAACACGAAAAAGTTCGCTGATGAACTTTTATCACAGCTTCCATAACTCAACACATATATTGCTACAGGTGTTGGTTTTTTATTCGCATATGCACACACTTTCTTTAAGTGATGTAATACTTTTTCAAATACTTTGCAATCAAGATGAAATACATCTTTATCTGTAAAATGGTAGCATTTGTCATAGAAAGTAAACAATCTATAGATACACAAATTATCTGTATTGAACTACAGAAAATAGGCAGGTACACATACCTTACAATGTGTTTGTGTGACACATTTAAACAACCGTCTGTGCATTATGTCCTGTAAAATATTTTGTGCTGCTTTAAGCTTTGGATTATTATCATTAATAATCAACTGAATGACGTCATCATTCAAATATGTGTAGGCTTCCATATCGTCAACAGTTTCTGAAATTCTAAAAGGTTTACATTTATGGTGTTGTATTTAATGTTTGCTTGTACATTTTTTTTTAAAGCAGCATGTAGTAAATTCATTAATTACATCATATAATTACTTAAGCGTCCTGTTATTAATACTAAGTCTTACAAAAGTATATAAAAAAGCTCCAACGTAGGAGATAACAAGTCTTATAAGGAGTAAATAACTTTAACCAAGGACTTTTTGATTCCTATATAGGAGATTAAATAAATTTAAATAGGACACTGAGACTCCTACATATGGGATAAAAAGCGCAATTAAGCGTGTAAAAATCCTACAATATAAAAACCATAATTAAGACTTTGTAACTCCAATGTAAGAAATAAAAAGCGTAGTTATAGAATTATGGCTTCCATATATAGATTTAAACTTAAGATACAGCTGTACATGCATGCACATGCACATAAATTAACTATGAAATACGATCTCGAATCACAGGCGTATACCGTAATTATATCGGCTTCTTCATAACTTACGCAGAAGGTCATGCAAAGAAAATGCACACTTAGCTGTTTTAATTAGAGGTTCAGTAATAATGGATTTACACATAAACTTATCTAGACCTTTTTTACCGTTTATATAAACATTTTTGTCATTTTTTTCCATTGTACACATATGACATTGATGTATTACTACCTCTGTGGTTCAGAATAAGAAAAATGGGTAATGAATTAAATTATACAAACTATATCGTCTATATGAACGTGTTCATCGCAATATATGTACATTTCGACCAAAATTAAAGTTTTAATATTTCATCCGGATGTGACGTATGTTGCATGTAAAGTTATTAACTGATCTGTAACAATGTTAACACATTGTCATAAACTATGTGGGTAATGTAAAAATGCCCCCAGCCCACCCACCCAAAAAAGATAAATGAATAAATACAAAGTAAAAAAATAGAAATAAAAAAAATATATATATTATGAATACTTGTTGTATAATAGATAACAAGTCATTTATAAACCGAAATATTTTTGATTCAAAGTGTTTTTTTTTCCAAAGAATATACTTAATTTTGAATCGTAGCACACTTCTTTTACGCACTTTTAAAATGTTTACATACCTTTTGCCATGTATTGTAAAATGAGCATCTGCTAATTCTAATGCATCGCAAATCCTGAAAGAAAACATGAGCCGGTTGAACCTGGTAATTCTCCCCAAACAGATTTTAGACACAAAGAAACTACTTCTTGCTGATATATTTTGTAGTTTCAGAGTTATGACTCTGAGAAAGTTCACAGTTTAAAAATGAAAAAGGGTAATAACTCTTATATTAGACAAGACACAGTTATGGCTCTTATGCATCATTGCACTTCTCCTTAATGAGAACTATTCACAAACACCATACACAGTTTCTTGTTGATACCTCTTATAGTTTCTGAGTTATGTCCCGGACAAAATACACATTGTTAAAAATTGGCAATATCTCAACAATTAGGCAAGACAGGGTTATGATTCTTTTGCACTGCACTTCTATTTAATGATATCTATCTACCTATAATTTTTCTGGTTGATACCTCTTGTAGTTTCATGGTTATGCCCTGTCAAACTTCACAATGTAAAATTTAAAAAGGGCAAGAACTCAACAATTAAGCAAAGCATTGTAACGGTTCTTATACACTACATTTCTACTCAATAAGTTCTATTTACCTGCAAAGTTTCTTGTTGATATCTCTTAAACTTCCAGAGCTAATAAGGCAAGGCAGAGTAACGATTCTTATGCACTGCACTTTTTACTTAATGAGATCTATCTACCTACAATGTTTCTTTTTGATATCTTTTATAGTTTTTGAGTTATGACCTGGACAAGGATCACAGTGTAAAGATGAACAAAGAGCAATAACTTGTAGAGCATAGTTCGAAATCGAATGTTTTTTTTTAAATATTGCATTTAAACACAGACAGTATTTACGTTTGTCTCGTACACAGACCATTTCAAAATAACTTAAATCATGTAGCTCACTTGAAGTATTATGGATAATAATGAAATAATATTTTAAGATAATATTTAAGAAATGATAAAACAAAATATTTATCTTATTTTGAAAATTGGTTTAATTCATGAATATAACCATTTCAATAGCAAATACATACATCATTCCGATGATTTTGTGAGTTTTGTGCTGATATGCCCGTCGATGTAAAGTCATCCTTGTGTAAAACATGTCATACAAGTCCTGTGCTACCTTAATTGTTTAATAAGATAAGACAAAATTTAATAATGCAGGTATAAAATTTTCAAAAAATATGTAAACTTTTTTCTATAATATTACACATTTTTACCTGCATACAATGTTTTTGAAACAAATTTTATGTTCCTAAGGAATTTATTTAACATCCGCGTATAGATAAACTGTTTTGATTTATGAGACATATTAGACGAGGATATGAGAACTTCTTCAGAAGATATATTACTATAATTAAGTTTAATAAATATACATATATATGCATGACATGCCCTTACATTTCTACCATTTTATATATCATATATCTCATTGAAGCAAAAAATGTTTGTACGAGTAGTTGATAAAATTTTATAAAGCGAAAAGTTTATTATTAATATGAATAATAAGTGTCTTATTTGATTATGTATTAAAGTACTAATCATCAATATTTGTTTACAATTTAAAATCAGTTGTATATATTGTTGATTGGACTAGACGAGATTATAGCCAAACTGATAAAATATAACCTCAGACGCTAGCCAATGTTTTACAAGTTCTAAAATAACTTTATTTCTTACAATGAAATTTCCTTCGCTTGCTTTTTGATATACAAAAATTAAGGAATTCAATTCATGTACAATGAAAAGTTTGTGGTTCTTATTTTTTTAATTCCGAAATGGCGTCTAATAAATATAAATTTATATATTTCTTAAGTTTATGGAGGTATTTATTTTCAGTGATTATTAGACATTCAGTCAACAATGGAGATGTATTCCAACAAGTAACACGACAAAGCTTGATCGAATCTGTTATTAAAACAAGTGGTGTTTGCTTAATCAACCACCTAAAACTGGTGTCCTTGTATGTGGAAAATGACTTTGGAATATGCTTGGCCAAAATGTTTAACATTTTACTACCATCTATGTACATTTTAAAACTCAACCATACTTTTCTTATGCACGTCTTGGTAAAGTATTGAAAGAAAAATTCACATCACTTTGATCGGGATTCGAACCCAAGACTCTTCACATCCTAAGCAAACAACACGGGCTTGCAATATAGTTATAATGAAAAAGTCAGAAGTAAACCAAATTACTCTCATTTTTTTCTATAAGGTATGGTTTGTTATCCTCAATTTAATATTAGATATCCCACAAAAAATAAGTAGGCCAAACACACTGTTAAAATCCATTAATAATACATTTTTGTGCTGAAAATAAATCGTGTAGAATTTATATTTATTGACAATGAGATGCCAATCCATACAATCGCTTTGATCTTTATTTGACAAAAATCATTTTAAACGTATACAATGGAATATATTTGCTCATGATAAAATAGCATTATTAGTCATTGTGCTGTATTAAAATTCGTTATATAACTTCTGACAGATTATACGGCCGAGAAATTTCCTTTTGCTTTAGATCACATTTATACAGGCTTCGGCTTTATAAACCCTATATAGCTAGCCATATAACAGGAAAAACATATTGATTACTTATTATATCAGCCATTTACCTCAAATGATAAAAATTGAATAATTAATGAAATATACAAACATTGAGAAAATATTGTTTACATTTTGAAGATAAATGTTTATGACAGTTACTCACTTTATCTCTGTAGCATATTTGATTCCGTTTCACTTGACTATTACCGGTATTTAAGCCGGCGTTTGCATCTTGCCTGCCGTTAATCCCGTTGCATTTGATAACTCTTGCACTTTTAAAACACCTGTTGTAATCGATATTGACTTTCATTCCCAGCATGTAACTGTCACGAGCAAGATAGTCCCATTTGTCAACGTCGATACCGTTTCTTTTATTTGCAACTATCTGAAAAATAGACGGGATCAATCATGGTTTCTTATTACAACTAGAGCTGGTATCACGGGGGAGGAAGTGTTACACGAAGGATGGAGTTCTTATGATAACTTGTTTGGAGTTCTTATGATAACTGTCACGGAGTTCCTGGAAAACGTTACGGATTTCTGTGGAAAACTTTTCTATTAACTTGGAGAACTCACGTGAAAAATGGTCATTTTTATCTTTAAATGGGGAGTTTGAGGTGCTAAATTAAACTTTGATAATTTAGCTTGCCCTACATATTATATAATGTTTCAGAAAAACCTTTTATTCCATTTTTCATCGCCTTTTTATAAAAAAAATTTGGTAGTTTTGAGTAAAATTTCCAAATTACTTGCTCATTCGTACATATTGACCTTTTCATTTGTGATCTTCTTCGTTGCTATACATAATTACATAATGATAATGCATAGTTGCAAACATAAAGCCAAGCTAATAAATTTATAACCGATTTTTCAAATGTCACGGAGTTTTTGTGATAACTCAAAATATGTCCTGGAGTTCTTATGATAACTTTTGTTATTACGGCCCGTTTAAGCGTATTTTATTTGTCAATAAGTGTGTAAATAATTATGAAGCATAGTACGCGTATCATTTGCACACACATTTGGTTATATAACGGTGGTTTAGAGTGTATTTCAGTTCAAGATCTCCGTTTCTTGTGTTTTTTGTGTTTGATTGGGTTTTTGGGTTTGTTTGATTGTTGTTTTTTTTTTTCCATTTCATTGGAATGACTGAAAACATACTTGATGTAGAGCATTTACTTACAGGATAAAAATACGCTTTTAATTTAATATTTAAGCATGATTTCTTCATGTATACATTATTCCTTGCAGTTCTAGAAAACATAAAGTAATTATGCTATCGGTCTGCCGAAACAAATTACATGTAAATGGATGGTTTGCAGCAAAATAGGAAGCAGTATGCACTACTTTTATCTAAATTTAATGAGGTGGGTGTCATCTTTAGATATTCAATGGATATCTTAATTTCTAAAACGTATCAATTTTGTCATAGAAACGTAAAAGGTACTATGACAATGATATGACAATAGAAAGCAAGAATTTAATAATATATGTGAGTCACCATTAAAGGCTTACTTTCTATTGTCATATCATTGTCATAGAACCTTATACGTTTCTATGACAAAATTGATACCTTTTAGAAATTAAGATATCCATTGAATATCTAAAGATATCGTATTTATTTCTGATGTTAAAGATTACATTTTACGTATCTTTCTTACAAAGTAATGTGGCCATACAAACTTCTTTCACTACACAGCACGCTGTCTAATATTTATATGTAACACGATGAATATTGGATAAACACATTAATATTGGACGCCTGTCTGCACTGTACTCAAATGCAGTACTGTCAGAACAAAATAATAACTTTATAGTAGTTATTTAAGTATTGAAACAAGACATGGGCAATTAATTTTTCAACTTCAATATTTTACAGCTTTCACGTATTGGACACTTCCTTTCCTGAGGAATTTTTTATGCCCCGACTGTTGGACAAATGTAGAAGAAAAGTGGTTTGTGTCAACACAGAAGGTTATTTATACCCTTTTTGTTTAACTGATATTCAAATTAGCTATACTTTTTTTTAAACTAAACTATACTGTGTTGGTGCCATGTAAAACCAACCGAAAAAGAAAATGCATTCTTTACTTAAACGTTAGGATCTTAATCAGTCATTTTTCTTATTAAGCTTCCAAGAAAATAAAGTGTCCTATTTTCGTATATATGGACTTATTACAGTAACGTCTGCTTCTATAAAGAGAAAAAATTGTGTATGGAGTCTCGTAAAATAACTGTGCTTCTTTTCTGTATGTTGAATATGTTATTTTTAGATAAATTGTTTCATATTATTGTCAAATTAAACGAATTAAGGTTAAAAATGAAAAGAGATAAAATAAATAAATAATAAGAAAGTCTCTTATCTTCTAATCTACCGGTCCGCCCTCTACTTCCCAATCTTCTATTTTTAGAAACGAACGCCATTTACGCGTTAAGAATAGCTCTCGGGACGCTGGCTTTGAATACGGTTTATCGGGCTTAATAGTGACCACTATTTTGATGGTCATTACATTATATGCCTAAGATGAGATAATACATTTCTCATAATTCTCTCATCTTCATGAAAACTGATAACAATCTTTCTATATATTGATGCTTTATAATATGTCCCTTCATATTTATAAAAGAATTCGATAATTTATGTAACTCAACAGTTAATATTGATTTTGTTGCATAGTTTTTCAATCAAATCATTGTAGAATATTGACCCAAAAAACTGCTGTCGCTGTTGGCAAGGGCTAGTAATATTATAACTAGAAATGTGTCATCATGCCACGGATGCCCCCGCATGCAGCCAAAATTACAGATGGTATAATATTTAGTTCCAAATTTGTTTGCACAAATTATTTTTTTCATTTTAAGTTCAAAACCCTTAAAACTATTCAATGTTAACACAAACCATTTTTATACAATGTTAAAGGCACTGAAATTATTCAGTCTTAACCTTTTGTAAATTGCATATTGCATATTTGTAGCCAAAATAATGGCCACATACATTTCCACAAAAGTATGAGTGCTGAAACTGAAAATTCAAATTTTTTTCCAACATTCAAGAAAGATAAGTTTGTCCAAAATCATTGAACCACGACCAAATTCAAACTTGAACTGCTTATTTCTAAGATGTATCTATATGTCAAATTTGAGTTGAATGTGTACAACCATTGGGGAGATAATGAACGGAAACTTAAAATTTCTGACTTTTTTTCAAAGTTCAAGAGGGATAACTCTGTCAGCTATCATCAAACCATGACCAAATTCGAAATTGACCAATGCATTCTTATGACATATCCATATCTTTAATTTATATATGTTGGGGAAGATAATAATTGGGAACTGAAAATTTCCTTTTTTCAAAGTTTAAGGGGCATAATTCTGCAAAAAATCATTGAACCATGACAAAATTCAAACTTGACATGTGCATTTCTTCGACGTATCCATATGTCAAATTTGAGTTGAATGTGTAATACCCTAGAGGAGATAATGAATGGAAACTGAAAATTTCATATTATTTTCAAATTGAAAGGGACATAACTCTGCCAAAAATCATCGAACCATGACCAAATTCCAACTTGACCTGCGCATTCCTTTGACATATCCATATGTCAAATTTGAGTTGAATATGTAACACTGTTGGGGAGATAATAAACAGAAACTGAAAATTTCATATTATTTTCAAAGTAAAAGGGGCATTACTCTGCAAAAAATCATTGAACCATGACCAAATTCGAACTTGGCCTGCGCATTCCATTGGCATATCTATATTTTAAATTTGAGTTGAATGTGTAATACTGTTGGGGAGGTGATGAACGGAAACTGAAAATTTCATATTATTTTCAAAGTAAAAGGGGCATAACTCTGCCAAAAATCATCGAACCATGACAAAAATGAAACTTGGCCTGTATTTTCTCATGACATATCCATATGTCAAGTTTGAGTTGAATGTGTTGTACCGTTGGGGAGATAATGAATAGAAACTGAAAATTTCATATTATTTTCAAAGTAAAAGGGGCATTACTCTGCCAAAAATCATCGAACCATGACCAAATTCGAACTTGACCTGTATTTTCTCAAGTCAAGTTTGAGTTGAATGTGTTGTACCGTTGGGGAGATAGTGAACGGAAACTGAAAATTTCATATTATTTTCAAAGTTAAAGGGGTATAACTCTGCCAAAAATCATCGAACCATGACAAAATTCAAACTTGACCTTTATTTTCTCATGACATATCCATTTGTTAAGTTTGAGTTGAATGTGTTGTACCGTTGGGGATATAATGAACGGAAACTGAAAATTTCATATTATTTTCAAAGTAAAAGGGGCATAACTCTGCCAAAAATCATCGAACCATGACCAAATTCGAACTTGACCTGCATTTCTCAAGACATATACATATGTCAAATTTGAGTTGAATGTGTGCAACCGTTACTAAGATAATGAACGGAAACTAATGATGACGGAATGACAGAATGACGGAATGAGGAAATGACGGAAGGGACGGAAGGACGGAAGAACGGAATGACGGAACAGGGTAACACTATATGCCCCGGCCATTATATGGCGGTGGCATAAATATCGGGAACTGCGTCCGGTGTTAAAATATGAATGCAACTAGGCCAATATCTCGCTTTTAACCACGCTTTGCACGAACTATGTACATGTATCGCATAGATGGTTGTGTAAGCTCACTTTATACAATGCATGTGTAAATCAGTTCAGTCTAGCTTTAACAATATCTCGATTAACGCTATCTAGTCTTGTATACTAAAGCTAAAAAATGGTTGAGAAAAGGTTTCCTTTTACTGACCAAATACGGTCCTATATCAAGAACCGCTGTATTCTTGGCATACAGGCGAAATAGATATTAAATGAAATATGTCGTGTTTATGGGAACAATAAACTTTCTTTTTGCATCTGTCACACGGTGGTTTAAAAAAATTAAAAGTAGTGTGGATTCAGTAACAAAAATGCACCTCATGCACGACGTTCGAAAACTGCAACTTCGCAAAAAATGGTTGAACAAGTAAAGGATTTGATTGCTACTGATGCAAGATTTGCAACTAAGTATATAACTAAATGCGTTGGTATCTCTGTAGGAGCCGCTAATACAATCTCAGACGTGATTTAAAAATGAGAATGATAAGTGCCAGATGGATATCCCATCTTCTAACAAAAGAGCAAAAACTTGCTCGGGTGGGTAAGAAACTCCAAACAATTGTTGGAACAGTTTACAACAATCAATCTTTCGCAAATATCATCACTGGCGATGAGACGTGGGTTCATTTTTATGAGCCCAAGTAAAAGATACATAACAAAATATGGGAAACTAAAGGAAGTCAAAGACCTTACATAGCAAAACGCACCATGAGCGTCAAAATGTCATTTATGTAATTTTCTTTACCAATCAAGGTTTTGCTATTTAAACTGCCCTACCAAAAAGTAAATCTGTAGATGCCAAGTTAAACAAAGACAAGGTTCTTCATAAATAAAAGATGTCTTTCAAAAACCGTCGACCAGCAACAGTTTTACTGGTCTCCGTGGTGCCAGGTTGTTGCATGACAATGCTTCGTCGCACAAGGCTGCCACTGTACGAGAATATCTGAAAAAGAAAAAGGTTGTCGAGCTTCCTCACCGTCCTTATTCACCAGATCTTGCACTTTGTAACTTTTTCCAATTCACGAGGCTCAAAAAGCACCGTGCTGGAAGAAAATATCAAACGCGAAAATATCTCGGTTTGGCTATTTTCCAGTGTCTGAACAATATACCTCAAAAAGATTATAAAAACGCATTAAAAATTTAGATTAAAAGACTAAAACTTTGTATATCACATGGTTGTGAGTATTTTGAAGGATTGTGGCACAGTTTGTTAAGCGCTTCTGAAAATTGACCCAGTTGCATTCATATTTGATCACCCATTTTATGTATTGATAGTTGTCTGGACACCCCCTACTGTTGTGGCTTTGTTTGTAAAACTATAAGATAACACATGCTTGAAGTTAAAAATGGGCATTTATCAACAAAAATGCAAGAAAATATGTTTTACATCAGTTGCAAGTCTAATTAATACAGGTCAACTTTTTTTAGACAATATATTTTACAAATCTGGACCAAACAGATGCGCCTGCAGTTATAACTAATAACATTGCTAAACACTATCATCGGAAAAAAATCTTGAAACAGTAAGGATAGGCAATTTATGACAAAGAAACAAAATATTCAATCGTAGCAAAAAGTGAAAATGAAAGGAAGATATAGTAGCTGCATACCTGAGAAACATTTCCAGAAAGGTCATGATTCTCCAATGAGTAAGTGGGGTTGATCATTATGTCAGAATGGGGCCGTAGTAATCATGTGGTCTAATAGGCATTTCTTTATACCAAATAACTAAAGGAAATATTTCTCAGAAAGATTTTAAATGTTCGTTTCTATGTAAGTCATGTTAACCACGTGACTACCATAACTATATAGACGACCACAAGGTGATATTACTTGCCTACCGTGTAGGCTGCCTAGATTGTGGGGTTAAAACTTTTAAATTCGTATTTCATCATAAAGTATATTTAGCAACTATGGTTTATTGCTGCATCATATTAAAACAATTTATATTTCGTCTTGAGAGGGCCACATGAGGATCATTCCTGTGGAGCTATGGAGAGAAATGTATTGTTTAAAAAATAGATAACGACGCATTATACACGATTGACATGACTATCTCATATTAGCACAAACGGCTTAAAAGAATGAAAATTATGAAAATAGATTTGTGTTGATGGATTTCTTCACCATATGTTAACAGTTTTTAATTGCGTTATGTTTTCCCCCATATATCTTAAGCTATCGAAAGACCTACCTCATACATGTAACTTTTGTCTTCTGTTCTACCTTTGTATGGCCATTCCTAAAATATATAATTACCTTGTCAAATGTATGTAATCAAATAACATACTTATATTCTACTATCAACTAACTGTGTCACAAAACCCACTTATGATATTGCCGTATTAAATATTCCTCTTTTTGTTTAACAATTTCTCATTATTTTCGGTACACAACATATATGAAAATAACAGTTAAAAAAAAGAACAAAATAGTAAGCAAAACGGGCAGATATTGTTGAAAACGTCTAGACCTCAACCAAGAGACTGTAGGTCCGAGCTCAAGTTGGTTCATTTCCTAACATACATGATAACAAAACTGTCGGACGCGTACTTGAGAGTGGTTCACATAATCCAAACTTACAATCCTGCTTAAAATAGATAAGCCAATATAACGTGTTAATCATAGCAAATATATTGGATATTTCGATGATTAGTCAAATATAATGGTTGTCATTAATTGCAACATTTTGTTAACCTCGTTTACTTATGTTTAATTTGTTTTATCAAAAATCCATTTGTTATCTTGTCATTCTACATTATCCAAACAAAGATATACATTCAATATTCTTAACTTGGATTTACATTCGAGTTTGATATATATATTAATATTCTTAACTTGAATTTACATTCAAAGCCGTGTTTCTTACGTCGTTTTCAATGTCTTTTGGATCATCAATCATTTCAAGGATAAAGGTAAAGTCTTGTTCTTCGAAACGACGAAGCCCGCATTCTTCAACTCTTCTTTTTATATCATTTTTCAACTTTTCGTTTTCGCTTTTTAGCATGTAATCAAACATCTGCCGAGCAATACTTTCATGCTGAAAAGTTACGTATAGAATCTACACTTTAGAATATTGTACTTGAATGTTTGCTTTTACTATTTTAATGTTCATCGACTTTAGCAAAAACATCATGTGACATTTTATTAAAAGTACTTCTAACCATGATGTTTTTCCTTTCATTTTAAGTTAGTAACAGTTAGTTATAATTATTGCTCGTTATTAAAAATAACATCCGTTGTTGCAACCATTTTGGCGATATCAAGGTTTATGCAACGTAGTAAATTTACAAAATGCTTTTTCACAACATGTAAAAAAGAAAGAATGTTTTGTGTATACATTACTAACTCACCGTAAACTCCTTTTTCATTTTTGGCATGAATCTCTTTTCAAAAACGTGAGAAAAGGGTCCTTGACCTAAAATGTTGTAAATTGAAACACATATGCGAACATTCACAATATTTCAGAACGACGGACTTGTTTGCATGCATGTTCGAAGACACCATTTCAAATTGTTTAATACAAAGTTTCAAGCAATTAAGTTCATTAAAATATATTTTTTACAAAAAAAAAACAGATTTGTGGTATGATAGAAACCTTATCTGGTTTAGTATTGAAGTAATAATATTCTGTAATAAATGTGTTGATCTGTGCATGATTACATGCCTGAATGGTGTGAACAAATCGTTCGTTGTGTCTAAGTTAAAGATATTTTGTCCCTATCTTACCTAAATCGTGACAGAGTCCAGCTATCTCGACACACAGAATGTCTTCATCAGATATGTCAACGTTAAGTTGTCTATCTCGTATTGTTTTTAATAACTTCCCTGCTAGGTAGCATACTCTAAAACGATATATTTTCATTTCAATTATTGATAATGCTTTAAACAACAGTTGCATATGAGGGACTTGAATTAATCAACGTTTTTTTTGTCTAATGTGTTCTTATATATCTGCTTGTTTAAAATTTTGATTACATATGTGATGCATGTTCATTTTTATGAACATACAAAGAATGCTTATTTTGATTTCTCTTTGTTCGATTACTGTATTTAATGAGAACATCGTGATATCCAACTATTCAATATATGTGGTTCTGAAACAATCCTATAGAAGATCGCTTACCCTATAGAGTGCTCGAACCTGTTATGACTGGCACCTGGGTACACCAGGTAACAGGTGTCAAGTTGTTTGATGTGTCTCAATCGCTGGAACTGAGGCGTGTCTATAATACAGATACACACAGGATGTAACTCCACTTGCCCATGAATAGGGTCGTTAAAAGTCTTGTAACGTACATGAAAATAATAAAATATAATACTAAACTAATATGCGATGCGCTCGTATTGCCTTTTCTCATTGTATCAAGCTGCGATATTAATATGTATGAAAAGCAATAAACAAATACATAAATAAATAAGCAACATCTTCAGCAGTACTACCCCTGCCGGCAAACTTATATCATTGTCACTACACGAGGATGGCCATACCAAATGATCTGTGACATCAGAAATTATGTTGAGCTGAATAATTCATATTATAAACCTATTTTAGTAAGTTTTCAAAGACAATTTAGAAATGGAATGAACTTCTTCATCTGTACAGTAGTTCAATGTAAAAAAGGACGCATTATGTTCAAGATTCGAACCGCGGTTTTGATCCGATTCAGAATTTCAGCTGCAATCTCCATCATGATTTTTGTCATTCTATTGCTTTAATTAGCCTTATTTCGACATTGTCTTTGCGATTTCATGATATATACGCTTGTACAAGATTTGCATGTTAAGTATTAAATTGAAATTACGTTCACAGCAATTTGATTATACAACTCTATATAATTTCCGATGTTAAGTTGGATGGCCAACCTGCACATGGTGTAGTAAGAAGTTATCAATTGCGGTGGGTCAGCCAGATGAGTTTGAAATCTTTCGTTATCCCAAGTAGAATAATTATTTTGTATGCTCGGATAATCATTCAATGTGTTGTCGTCTTTACAGTATTCAAAATTTGATGCCGAAAACTTCCCCTTTTTTCAAACGTTTGATATAAATGTGAGAACTCTGTTTCAGTCATCGCTAGCGACATGTAGTTTCTTTATTACTGTGGGTCTTTTCCTGCATAAGCTGACATGTAGGAAACATCATACTAATAATCATATCAAAGTTCGATAAATCAATTAATGAGCATTGCATAATATTATTCAATTGAAACAGAAAATTGATACCTTTCCTCTTTTTAAAATATTGTCGGCACTCGCTTGAGCTTCCGCTCTGGGAGTCGATTCCTCCGTTTGACCTTCCATTGTTTTTCTGAAAGAAAAACAAGTCACAAATGTTCCCATACAGGATTATGTTTTGTCAATTTATATTACATGTACATCTGTAATGATAGTATTAATTTTAAATTGTGTTTCACAAACCTAAAATGAAAGAAACTCTTGTTATTAACAAGACAAAATTTTGATCAATAGTCACTCTGACCTTGACTCAATTACAATGTACCTCAAAATTAATTGCTGTCGTCTTATGACCAGGGACAATACCCTTACCAACTTTAACAAGTATACGCTATTTTTCTTAGGGATTACGAACCGTAAAAGTTACCTACGAGAATACGTTTTTCTTACGTAGATAGAATAAGACATTTATTTATACAAATATAAAAATCAATCACCATCGATTTTTTTATTTTTATCATTTTAGTGCAACGTCCCATCTTTGAATTTTCGCTCAAATTACAATCACTATGGCATATTTGGAGGAATCATTTTGCATATGAAACATGTTTTTGATGAAAGATAATCCACGTCTTTGTTTTCATTTTGGACCTATGCTATTTACATAGTGAATGTAAGTAACAAGAATTCATTGTGATTTACATTTTTTTCATCTTAGATAAATGCATGCGCGTAAAATAAAGTCCCCTTTTCACAGGCTCAAAAATGACATGTCTTTTCCAGCAACTAAAACCAGTGTTCGTGTGTAGGAATTCTAATAAAACTTAAACATATCTTCATCAAACATAACAGTTTGAGTTTGGTACATAATTTTGCATGACCAGAGTTTCCAACGTGCATTAAAATATCATGTATGTACATTTTATGAGAGCCATACTTTGTCTTTGTATATCGTGACTTATTCCTTTAAATAAAATGTTAAAATCGCCAAAAACGACTCTGAAAAAAATCAGTTGGCGTGACTGGTATTTGAACCCTAGACCTCTCACATCCTCAAACATCGGGCAAAATTACAAAAATGACCACCAGAGCTAAAAATAGAATAACCTTTAAACTAGTTATTTGGTAAATTTTGATGACACTCTACAAGCAATGATCCTCGGATAGTTGTCTATATAAAATTCTAAAACTGGTTTAAAATATTGTCAGGGTGTGGATCTTTGTTTCTTGTTCATTGTTTCATTTCTAACTAGGCTTGAGTTGACCTAACTGACGCTGGCCATTTTCTTGGAAAACAAGCTCAAATTGCCCGAAGTCTTTCCCGAAACGGATACTTCAAATCTAAATCTTGCAATTCATAACAATACACATTTATTTTTATTCAAAAGAATGAAGGTCGTATAACTTGTTTGATATTTTAAGGTCACAATTCAAAAACCTACTCTGCAAATGTGAATAACACCATTAAAAAATGACTTGTACCATTTGGCCTTTTTTCAAAATGGCGGATCAAATCAATGTCCTGTTGGAGTGTAACCTAGTGCAATAGATTAAGTAGCAATGTATCAGTTAATTGCATAAACATTTTCTGAAGGTAACAAATCATTTAAACAAAGATTACAATTAAAATTAACAACAGAATATTGAAAATGAAAACGCAAATGAGCAACAGAATACAAGAAACATGGCAATGCCATGAAACCAGGTTTTCAATTATCACCATTGTAGATAAATATGTTGTATTTGAAATACAAATACAAGCAACAAACAACGTAACTATGTGCAGTGTAAAACATGAATAATGTAGGAGGAATTGCGCACAGAAGAAGTGTTCACTATATATATTCTGTATAAGGAAAAACACAAAGGGCCATAATTAGGTGTAAAATTATCCAATCACAAAACCCCGACAATATGTGCCAGGGCACTTGATGACAAAGCTTCTGTGAAAGTTTGAACAAAATCCGTTGAGAAATGTAGGAAGAGTCCAGCACAGAAGAATTTGATCAATTCTGTATAAGGAAAAAATATACAAAGGGCCATTATTCGGTCAAATATAATCCAATCACAAAACCCTGACAATATGTGCCAGGCTCTTGTTAACAAAGCTTCTGAGACAGTTTGGTCAAAATCCGTTGAGAAATGTAGGAGGAGTTGTGCACAGAAGAAATTGTTCACTATATATTCTATATAAGGAAAAAAACAAAGGGCCATAATTAGGTCAAATATTATCCAATCACAAAACCCCGACAATATGCGCCAGGGCACTTGATGAGCAAGCTTCTCTGAAAGTTTGGTCAAAATCCTTAGAGAAATGTAGGAGAAGTTGCGCACAGAAGAAATTGTTCACTATATATTCTATATAAGGAAAAAAACAAAGGGCCATAATTAGGTCAAATATATACCAATTCCAAAACCCTGACAATATGCGCCAGGGCACTTGATGACAAAGCTTCTGAGAAAGTTTGGTCAGAATCCGTTGAGTAATGTAGGAGGAGTGGCGCACAGAAGAAATTGTTCACTATATATTCTATATAAGGAAAAAAACAAAGGGCCATAATTAGGTCAAATATTATCCAATCACAAAACCACGACAATATGCGCCAGGGCACTTGATGAGCAAGCTTCTCTGAAAGTTTGGTCAAAATCCTTTAAGAAATGTAGGAGGAGTTGCGCACAGAAAAAATTGTTTACTATATATTCTATATAAGGAAAAAAACAAAGGGCCATAATTACGTCAAATATATACCAATTGCAAAACCCTGACAATATGCGCCAGGGCACTTAATGACAAAGCTTCTGAGAAAGTTTGGTCATAATCCGTTGAGAAATGTAGGAGGAGTTGCACTAAGAAGAAATTGTTCACTATATATTCTATATAAGGGAAAAAAACAAAGGGCCATAATTAGGTCAAATATTATCAAATCGCAAAACCCCGACAATATGCGCCAAGGCACTTGATGACAAAGCTTCTGTAAAAGTTTGGTCAAAATCCGTTGAGAAATTTAGGAGGAGTTGCGCTATATATTCTATATAAGGAAAAAAAACAAAGGGCCATAATTAGGTCAAATATTATCAAATCACAAAACCCCGACAATATGCGTCAGGGCACTTGATGACAAAGCTTCTGTGAAAGTTTGGTTAAAATCCATTGAGAAATGTAGGAGGAGTTGCGCACAGAAGAAATTGTTAACGCCCGCCCGCCCGCCGACATACCTCAATCTAATAACCAGTTTTTTCCTTCGGAAAACCTGTTTAAAATTACATGTATTGTCGTCGCATCGTATGGACAGGCGACAATACGATAAAATGCCAAGTTTACGGCGACGATTCCGAATTATCGTTGACTTGTCTAATGATGTATTATCCGCCATGCCTTCTTCGGATGAAAGTGTGTATGGGTTTTCTGAATCCGATTTAATTATATCTCTAAATATACTCGGCATTTAATTAAAAATAAAACAAGGACTAAAAACCCGAAAGGTAATGTTAAAGACAACAATTTACGTGGTAGACAAGAGTGTCTTCGGACAGGCCACTTTTGGATATTTCGAAGCTGTCTGCCATCGACATTGCATCGACAAGGATTTTGTTAGGCATTCAGCAGGACGGATCGAATCCTAGTGTTTTGTTTTGCGGAAAACGATTTGTCTGTTGTCAGGCCAAATATTACTGCTCCAGTTGACGCAGATGCTGTTTCTGACAAGAAGTATTTTCCTTTTAAACAAGTTGATAATGATGATGATTCTGTTCTTTATGAACATAATGGTGTTCAGTCTATTCAGATGGACAGTTGGAATTTCCTATCTAAGAGTTTTCTCGGGTTCTTGTTGATGATTGGTCTATTAAAGGGTGCCAGAATAACAATAATGTTTTATCCTCGCAAAAAAATTGCCAAAATTGAAGGTTTCTTTAAAAGGCAAGACTGTTTCTACTAAGTTAATCGGGCTGATAAATACTTCTTACAAATTGACTCTAAGTACCGACGATTCACAAAATCTCTCATCATGCCACATCTTACGCTTCTTGTTTTAATGATGACATGGATGTTTGAATATTATCAAAGATTTAACAATAAGCAACCAGAAGCAGTATCAGTGATATGTTTTATTAGTCTATTCATATATATAGTGATAAAATTTGCATTTCTAACAGAAAAAATAGAGAAAACCAGAATCCCTAAAGAAAGCCCAACACGGCAAAATTGAAAATGTTGCAGGCTCGGTTTGATTGAGCCTGTTCATGGACGGTACTGGAAAGTGCAAGTTACCGTCCACGACCCCTAGCACCGGCTTAAGCAGAATTCAACATTTAACACGAACTGGTACAATTTGGAATTTTGAAACATCTGCAGATATGTTCATATGACGGTTATCATGGAACCTTTAATGTGACACGTAAGTGCCATTCCATGAAAAGCGGCATATGGTCCCCAAGTAAAAAAATGCGTGTGCCCTTAACGAGAAAACAATGGGCGAAACTAAATAAAATGGAATTTTGAAAGGGGATCTGAGGTTATGAAATAGAGAAAAACAGAATCCCTAAAGAAAGACCAACACAACAAAATTGAAAATGTTGCAGGCTCGGTTTGATTGAGCCTGTTCATGGACGAGTACCGTCCACGCCCCCTAGCACCGGCTTAAGCAGAATTCAACATTTAACACGAAAATGGTATATAACCAGTATGAACATTTTGATTTTTCTACCAACCAGACGTTAAGAAGAAGAGAAGATCAAATGTTTATTCCAATAAATCACAAGAAAAGCATTGATGCAAAGCATCAAAGAGCGTCCAAGCAAGAAATGCAGCAAGTGAAGATGAACTAGTAGTCATCTGATGACCAGATGTTTTTATAAACTTTTCAATGGTTAATTGGTTTTAACCAGTATTGTTTATCATTTATGAATGGGCGGACGAAAGACATTGTTCATCGTAAACTTTGGTAGACATGCTAGGGATTTGAATATTAAATTTTTTTCCCAAGGAACTTTAATTCTATCAATGTTAACGATAATATCCAAAATATACAGGTCTTTAAAGTTACATTTAATAAATTTCATAAAAAACTAAACAGCAACATTTCATAAATAAGTTGTGTTTTATATCGATTCCATGTCTTATTTTGGTGTCCA